AGGTTCTTGCCTACCCGGTCCCTTAGCATTCGAAACCTCTACTGGTTGCCCCTACTAAGATTAGCCACCGAGGTATCTAACATTGTCATCTTAGCATCCTGTTTTATCCTCCAAGCTTCCTGTTTATCTAACCTATCTCTCACATCCCCAATTTCACTTTCAAACCGTTGTACCAAATCATCTGATGTACTGTTATGATTGTCATGTTAGTTTGAATTGGAATCTTCTCGTTCAGACATCCTAAAACTAGAAATTTTATCTGCCTCACCAATATTCACTCAAAAATCACACAATATGGCTTTTTCCCTCTATTAATCTCACCACTCTACCTTTTACCACTCGATGCTTTCTTCCAGGCACTTCAAAGAACAAAGTGAACTTGAAGAATATTAAACCCGTAGAATTTTCAACCGAATCTAAATCAAGAATTGTGAAACAAAAGGACTTGAATTTTTTTTTAATGAAATTGACCCAAATTTTATTGAACGAACGAAACTAATGTGACTCGACAAAATAAAGATTGTTGGTAGTAAATTGCACAATAAAAATAACATCAATAAATTTATTTTATTGACTCTTTAACAATCCCAGAACAGAAACTTTTTTTTTCGACCATTTTTTTTTACCCTAGAACAGTACCCTGAACAATAACTTTTTTTTTTTGAATAAAAAAACGAATTAAACTACCAACAAATTAAACAAGATGGTTTTGGATGCTAAAATAGCCCCAAAACAACTTTGACAAAATTTGATGGATTAAAAGACTCAAACAACGAAGAACACAAGAATAGGGAATAACAAAACGTGAAAAAACATAGAACAAAGACTCAACGAAAAACACAAGGATGTAACCTCTTAATTTGGAGTCTGTGCTCTGATACCAACTTAAGGGAATCCCGTAGCAACGTTGACTACGAAACCCACAACTAGATTGTTAGAATCTCAAAAATGCCAATTAAAAGGTTTGAGAGTTTGAACCCGAATCAATGAACCAAAAAATCCAACAAGATCAAAGCTTAAAAGACCCCTTGATTACACGATTAAGACCCACACCCAGATTGTAAAACGCCACAAGATTATAATTTTTGATAAGTTCCAATTGTTCAATGAAGAACGATATGAAGAAAGCAAAATAGCCTCTATTGAATTCTCTCAAAATAATATGTGTAGAAAAACAATGTAGGAAATAAACTTCTATTTATACCAAACATATAATAAAAGTTCAAAAAGGAATAAAACTCTAAAACCCCAAAAAAATCAGAAATGTCATTCAATATTACAAGAATTTTACCGTAACTACAACTCTAAAAAAAATATGGAAAATTCGAAAAAGGAAACAATTTGTCCCGGAAATTAACTATGCGGCTGCATAGTGTAATTTTATGCGGTCGTATAGAAGAAAGGTGCAATCTCCTGGAATTCCCTGCTAGTGTCTGTGCAACCGCATGGCCCATTTAACTATGCGGTCACAAAGATGTAAGTTTGGCCTCCAAATTCTTCTGCTTATATTGAATTGTCCATTTGGAGTCGGCTCCCGATCCGAACATGAAAGTTGCCTCATTTTGCATCCCCAATATCGTCCCATCAATGTTTGATTGAACTAGCAACCCCATCGTTTGTTTCACCTGCTTTGCCCTCGATCGCGTCGTCAGCTTGTCTTCGATTATCAACTGGTCTCGCTCCACACTTGTCTTCTTCGAGCCTGACTCTTGGATCACATCATATCTTCACCATTCCACGATTTAATATGGAAGGATATGATCCACGTGCAACAATTGATGACAATAATATGTTTGTGGAAGATGTCTACATAATGTGATGATTTAATATGACAAGATATTATTCAATTGATGACGATGACATGGTTGTAGAGATGATTTTCCCATGTGACATTTAGTATGACAAGATATGATGCACTTGCCAAAGTTGATAAGGTGACTTTTCCATGGGATTTTTTTTTTCTAGCAGTTGTTTGCAAGTATGACTTGATATTGGGAAAATTATGGGAATCGATCCTACCAGACTTCTAAGTACATGGTGTGAATGCAGCTCAGATGATCCGATCTAAAAAATCTTTGGAACTATTCACTACACTAAGAATTGCTTGTTATAGGTCACTCAGGATGAACTTGAGAATTTCTACTAGATTATCCATGCCCACAGTATAATACATACTTGCAAAGATACAGTTCAGAATGGGAGCAGTACGCATAATTTGGTTAATTTAAAAACAAAAATAGTGTATTTCCACTAATCCTCAAAAAGAGAGAGAATCTTCCCATAGAAGATGTCCTTGTACAATAGCCCTATATTTTGGATGATATCGCTTATTCAATCCACTAATCCTCAACAAGAGAGAAAAAATCTTCCCATAGAAGAAGAATATTTGGTGAACGAAGAATTAATCCTATAGGAGCAAAATGAAGGTGTGCATTCATTGAAATTGGAACTATCATGCAATCCTTTTACTCCAAGTTTGCTCTAATGCTAATTTTATAATTAAGGTCGATGAGAAAGTTGTGTGTGAGTAAGGTGGTGTAGACAAGGCATATATTTATTTTTAGAAGTCCAAGGGAAAATTTTGAAGGATAAAGAATGGTGCAAAGTCAATATCGTTGTCCTTATTTATTTGCTCACATGGAGCACAATGTATACTCCGGATTTGTGGATGCAACTTCATTATGATTTTTTCTTTTTCTTTTTTTAATTGCATAGCCCTGTTGGACAAATATGATAATTATTTGAAGCTATTATGACTCATGAATTGTAAGTAGGTGATGTCACTTTCATTATTTTAATACTTATCTATTTGAAGTTGTGTTAATTCTTAGGCACAAATTCAGTGGTGGATGTAGCTTATGCCGCCCTAGCTGGCTTCACTGGAACTGCCACGCAGGTCGTCGAAGTCAGTTTTTGTTTTTCTTCAGTGTCACGAGTCTCGTGACTGTTGGCTTGGGTGTTGGCTGTTGGGCTTCAATTTTATTTTTATTTTTTTAATCTGGCCCAATTAAAGAAGCCCAAATGACCTGCAGCCTGCTCCACTCCATACCATATACCCAGCAAGCAGAGTAACCCTAAGCAGAGACACAGAGTGACCACTAACCAGAGTCCTAGATTTTTCCCCAAATTGCCACCACCCACCATTACCAATCTAGGGCTCTCCCCGTCTTAGCCGTCAACCACCAGTCCACTAGTCCACCACTATCACAAGCCACAGCAGCCAGCAAACGTTGCAAATGGTACCAGCGCCAGGTCCGCCACCGAGTCCAATCCAGCAGGCAGCCCACACACACAATCGCACTCCGCTTCAAAAAATGCAAGATTCTTTTAGACTTTTAGTTATTTGATGTTCGGTGATTCGTGCATGTGATATTGATCAAATTTTTCAAAAATCTTGGATTTCATTTTGGCTGCAAGTCTGCAACTCCAGCTCTAAAATTTTTCTAATATTATTCACATTTTTATATATTTTGCAAGGCTCGTGGTTGTGGGAATTTATTTAAGTGATTATGTGAACTTTGAAGTGAATGAGTTGAAATGCTATTGCCTATTGTACTGCATCGGCATCCTCGTGTGAAGAACAGAAAGAGGCCCAGTATTTTGTTGGGAAATATTAACCTTTATGACCTGTTTGGACAATACAATGGACTAGATTTTAATTTATTTTCTTCTTTAATGCTATTGTACTTAATAAGATTGGTCAATAGAATAGACAAGAAAATAAATTTTTAACTTATTTTTGTGTTTACTATTGTCTAAATATTGTGTAGTCCACCTAACCAAACACACAATTGGTGTCTAGGAGTTGGGTCTTAACAAAATATTGAATGAAAAATGGGAATAAATTGCAATGTTAAATTGGAGATACATAGGTTTGCTGTCAATTCAGTCCAGATGTTACTTTCTCTTCTGGGGTTCTCATTTGATAAGATATTTTATTGTTTGTTTTCTTCATGGCTGCCTGCATTTTGATTGGCTATTGAAGGTTTAGTGGTTTACACTTTTTTGTATTTTCAAAATTTATCTCATAAGTCATAAGTTAGCAGTGGAGAGGAGATCCTATTGTATTGTTATTGAGCTGTATGCAAATGAAAATGGTATGAATATAAGTATATAACAGCCACTCTGTTGAATTCGGCCAATTTCCTAGTAAAACTGTGAAAGAGATGAATATAAATGGTTTTAGGGATAGGGTTTTGTGGCAAAGCTTTGATTAGTCATAACTATTAACTGATATCAATTATGTCAAGGAAAGTGTATTCTGAAGATCTAATGAAATTGGTGATCTACTACCTAGATGATTGTTTAGGCAACTTTGCTGCTTTGACAAATTTTTTAGTGTTTGATTTTTCTAATATATTGCTATCTAAATCTTGGGGATTTTTTTGTTGATTTGAAATTAAATTGTTGAATTGTTGATTTTTCAACCGAAATGAAAGTCTATACCTAGTTCTCCTAGTTCTAGTTGTGCTTCTAGTCCCGCCACTGCTTCTAGCCGAGCACTCGAGTTGTTAAACAGCACAAAGAAGTCTCGGGCTCAATTCAATGTGGATGATCTTGTATTTGATCCAGGAAAACGCCCCCCATCGAGTCATATGATCCTAATATCAAAGATGATGTTAGGATGGCATATTTGCAAAAAGGTCCTTATCAACCACATGAACATGACTTTCCAAGAAGACGGATAGAAAATGATAATAGGTATTTTCGAAAAGAATGGTTTTCTGACTTTTGCAAAGTGTACCAATTTGATGAATCAAAAGCAAAGTATCTCCCATGTTATTTCTAGCCAAAGTAGTAGTAAACAAAAAAATTTATAGGACAAGGTTGACTGTGGTGCTAGATTGTACTAGATTCCTCTTGATGCAAGGATTGCCATCTCGTGGTCATGATGAATCGAAAGAGTCTCTTAAAAAAGGAAATCTGATTGAAATTGGTATGCAGCTCGTCGTAAGAAAATTAATGAAGTGCTATTTATTAATGCTCCTGGAAATGACCAAATGACTTCACCAAGCATCCATAAGGATTTAGTTAATTGTTGTGCTATAGAGACGACAAGGTCTATGATCAATGAGATGGGCGATTTCTTGTTTTCAATTTTGGTTGATGAGTCTCATGATAATTCTATAAAAGAACAAATGATAGTTGTTTTGAGATTTGTTGACAAAAGTCGGCAAGTGAAGGAGCGTTTGTTGGACATTTGCCACATCGCTGATACTTGTGCCCAATCACTCAAGGATGCCATTGATGCAATATTTTCTACACATGGGTTGAGCATATCTAGTCTGAGAGGTCAAGGTTATGATGGAGCAAGCAATATGTCAGGTGAGTTCAATGGCTTAAAAGCTTTAATTTTAAGAGAGAACCCATGTGCTATGTATATTCATTGCTTTGCTCACCAGCTTCAGTTGGCAGTTGTTTCTGTGGCACATAGGAATGTTATGCTTAGTGATTTATTTAACATGCTTGCTATTATTGTGAATTTAGTTGGTGCATCATGTAAATGTGTAGATGCTCTTCGAACAAGTTATCATGTTGAAATTCTGGAGAGGCTTAATATTGAGAAACTTTCTGGTGGAACTGGTCAATTTCAAGAAATGAGTTTGGCACGCCCAGGTGATACTAGATGGGGCTCACATCTAAAGACAGTTACTCACTTTATTAGTATGTTTAATGCGATCATAGATGTTCTTGAGAATATATCAGAAGACGGCATCATTTTACAGCAAAAATTAATGGCCATAAGACAGATGGACACTATGCAAGATTTTCAATTTGTGTTCAGTCTCCATTTTATGTTTGAAATTCTTGCAATTACAGACGACCTTTCACAAGCCTTACAGAAAAAGGATCAGGATATTCAGAATGCTATGAGATTATTGAAGTTGTGTAAGTACGCATGGCAGAACATGAGAGGCAATGGTTGGGATACTTTGTAGAGTAAGGTAATTCAGTTTTGTGTTGATAGACATATTTCAGTGCCCAATATGGATGATATTGTAGTATTGAAAGGTCGACCTAGGCGTGCAAGTCAGCAGGTGACTTATTATCAGTGCTTTTTATGTTGATTTGTTTTGTTATGTGATAGATTCAATCTTGCAAGAGTTGAATGATCGTTTTCCAGAAACAACTACTAAGCTTTTTACTTGCATTTCGTGTTTAAGTCCAAGAGATTCACTTGCAGCTTTTGATGTATGTAAATTGGTACGACTTGCTCAGTTATATCCTATGGATTTCAATAGTGAAGAGCTTTTATTATTTAGACCTCAACTTGACAAGTTTCTTATGCTCATGAGAATGGATGAAGTTTTCTTCAACCTCAAAAGCATATCTTGTGTAGCTCAGAAGTTGGTTGAAACTGGAAGTTCTTGTTATTTTCCATTGGTTTATAGGCCGATCACATTGGTTTTGATATTACCTGTGGCAACTGCAAGTGTTGAAAGGGTATTCTCTGCTATGAATCTAATCAAGAATGATCTACGCAACAAAATGGGAGATGAATTGTTGAATGACAATTTGGTAGCTTACATGGAGAGAGATCTTTTTATGAAACTTGAGAATGAGACAATATTGCAACATTTTCAAAATATGCAACCTCATAGAATTCAGTTGTCTAAACTTGCAATTTCAAAGTAAGGTTGTATTGTATATTTTTTTAGCATTTTGGGTTGTATTGAACTATATTTTCATATGTATATATTTTCTAGATTTTAGTGCATTTACATATATATTGAATAATTTTTAATCTTATTTAATCTAATTTTAATAAACGATCGGTCGCCAATCAGATCGGGCTTTTACGATCGTCGATGGTCAATGGTCAAAGTCAACCTCCGTCCTAGCTGAATGTTGATGCTGAATTCGCCACTGGGCACAATGGTCATGATAATCATTATTATTGGGTGAGTTACACTGATAGAATATGATGAATAAATTTCGTAATTAGATTGCGACAACCAAGATCATAGTTGAAAATAGAATAGTTTGGTTGTTGTTGAGCCGATTTTAGAAGCTATAAGAAAGTTATTGCATCCGTACTTATTGATATTTAAGTCAAGTGTGTTTGGCTACGGGGTGGAACCTAGGTATTAACCATAAGCTAGGTCTAATCTCAACTACTCATCCCAACAAAAGGCATTGCATTAGTTCAGAAAAAAAAAAAAAAAAAGGAAAAAGTGTAGGAAGAAGCGACGTGCATTGGTAAAAATTTTATACACTTATTGAACGTGTACTACGTATCATAAGAGTGTATAAAGAAGAAACAATAGAAAGAAGCAGTATGACGTTGATGTTATCAATGTTTGAGCAAAGCTACCTAAAAGTGAATAAAAAATGTAACAAAAATAAAATATTTATGTTTTTCTTATATGTGATTGTGTAAACGGTTGTAATAAGAAAAGCACTACACTTCCTAATCCTTGGAGACTTAATTTGAGAATTTAAATGTCTTGTGAGATTAATTTTCTCATCTAAAGCTTGAAAGTTGATACACAGAAATCTAGAAATAATCATCGTAGATTGAGTTGGTTTAATCAGGTAAATCCAATCAAATTTGGTCGAGAAATGAATGAGTACGTTGTCAAAGCAACCTTAAAATAAATACCCCGTGCAAGAGACTGAATATGAGGTATGTAACCACAAGAGAGAAAGGGAAATAATTAACCATTAAGGATCGAATTATCTAAGGGTGTGTTTGATACAACCAAATTTTCCATGGAAAATGGAAAACCAATTCCAATTCCATGTTTTCGCTTGTTTGATGGCTCTATTTTTTCATGGCATTCATTTTCTAACTTTTCATGCCATTTAGGCTCTATTTTTTCATGGCATTCATTTTCTAACTTTTCATGCCATTTAGCATTTTTCATGCTTTTCAAGGAATTCCAATTCTTACCAAAATGATGAGAATTGGAATCCTCAGTTGCTGTAGCAATTTTTTATTTTTATTTTTCCGATTTTTTTTTTATTGCAATAGAAACAAATTCTAAGAATTATTTTAAAAAAAATATTTCCCTTTAACTGACAATTTTCATATAAAACAAAGACAAACGAACACCAAAATATAGATAAATTTTTTTTTTTGGGCAATGCAAACAAATTCATCTCCAATACCAGTAAATTTTATCCTTCTAAACGACAATTTTCATATAAAACAAAGCCTAACGAATATCAAAAAATACTTTTATTTCAACATTTTTCACGTAGAAAATTATACCAATCAAACATAATAATTTACAATTCACAAGAAAACAATTTATATGCAATTCAATTCCCTGAAATTTCACTCAAATTACATCTTTTCAATTAAACGGACACTAAATGTTTGTAATGATTGGAATGACTACACATACATCAATTGATCATCTATAAATAAAAATTGATTTTGATAACATAACTTAGAAACCTTTAATAAATTAAATGAAAAGTTTTAATTTTGAGAAAAATATATCAAGCAATCTAATAAATTAATTTTTATTTTCAATTGTTTGTGGGTTTTAGTAGATAATCTTGTTTGAACGAGAAAGAGTTCAAATTTGGGAGTATTTGATAAATATTAAAAATATTTTACATGATTATTCATGCTTAAAATTTTGAAAAATATTTGCAAATAGAGTGGGTTTCTACTTAATTTATTTTAATTATGTTTATTGTAAGTAAAACCCGATATTTGGAGGCATTTGGATGGAAAGTAAGGATTTTTTTAATTTTAATTGAAGTTGATTAACAGCAATCAAAGACCTGACGAATTGCATGGGATTGATAAGATGCATTAAGAGCTCAATTGGAGGAAAAGTCATCGGTTTTATGGGTTTTTCAAGGCACGATTTTCGAGATGTGGCCTACATAAAGACATTTTCTAGGTCAAAGCAAAAGTTCCAAAAAGAAAAAGAGGAGAAAAGTGTGAAAAGGAAGAAAGCTGGAGTTTCAGATTTCTCAAGAAGACGACCCTCTGGGGCAATACATTCAATTTTATTTTTATTTTTTTCAATTTTTCCTTTAAACCAGTGATTTACTCCATATTTTTCTTATATTTTCTTCTTTCATTATGTGTGACTAAACTATTAGTTGGGATGAATGATTATAACCTAATTTTGATCCCAAATTTTAATTATGGTGATTTGATCTTCGATTTATATTTGTGTATTATTTTTTTTTCTACTATTCATGATTTTGAATTATTTGATCACCAATTCGATGATTTGTGAAGGGTAAAGAGTCGAGATGTTAGTTAGTTATTTAGACCACATGATTCACTTAGAGATATATGATCCAACTTAATTGAGTAGGATTGATTTGAAATTGAGAGAGTTAAACAATTGGTGATTGAGATTAAGGAGATAATTACTGTAAAATCGTGGATCTCAATACTTTTCATACTTAGTTAAAATCCCAAATTGTCTACTCGAGTACTTTTAAATTATTTTCGTAGAGTTATTATATTTAGGATGATAATTAAATCACTTTTAATTATTTTTACTTGAGTAGAAGTTAGACATATTAAAATTTAGTTAGAGCATCTACAAAAAACTTTTTAAATACAAAATACTCCCTATTTTAGAGAGTCAATGCTTAAAAATGAGTTCCAGTAAACCTTCTATTTTAACTTTTTAAAGTAGAGAGTGTGTTTGACTCTTCAAATTTAGAGAGTCAAACCCACTCTCTATTTTTAATATACAATGATTACATTTTGTACATTACAAATTTCAATATTTTACAATTTAAATTTTTCAAATTACGTTTGAATTGATTGGTCATTAATATATAAAAAATTTATATTTAAATAAAATATATGGAGAAACTATTAAATGTTCTTTGGAAAAAAAACAAAATAAAGAACATGTTGAAATGTATAAAAAAAATTACTTTCTAAATTTAAAGATACTCTCTATTATGCATAAGATACTCTTTATAAATAGAGAATCTTTTGGAGATGCTCTTAAATAGATAATTCTTGTAAATACTCAAGACTTATTATATCCGCCTAATACTTGATTAATTAACATCATGTACTTGAGATTAAATGACATCGGCTGCCATTAATTAAAGGGAAAATCCACTTGAACAACCCCATGAAGCACCGCCCTTAATCAAACAACAAAAAGTGACAACTTGAATTTGTCATTTGATAGAATGTACGATTTTGTAGAATAGCCAGTAAATTCTCATTATTAGTTATTTTCAATTTTACATAGAAGTTAATTCCCTTAAATAGCATTAAATAAATTTCTACCTAACATTCCATCCATATAAGCTACGTAATTTGATCTTTCGATTTATGCTCTCTAATAGTATTCAAATATATATTTTGTACTTCTTACCACTCACAGGTGACAACTACTAAAAACTCTCTAATATCATTTTATGAATCTAGAAATTAAGGCATTTTAGAAGGGGGGAAAAATTGGATATAACAAGGTTTTAAAAAGTCAGCGAAGTTGACTTATTTCATAAGGTGTATGATTTGATAAAATATTTTGGATTCATAAGTTGCGCTTATCCCTTCTATATTGTAAATACGAAATCCTTTCTGCTCTTTCATCTTTATGTTATTTTTCAACCCTGAAAGATAGTTCACTGGTCAGGTTTTGGGTTTGCTCTCTAATGATCATCAGTTCGAATTCCTCAGGGTCACTGAGATGAGTACCCAACTGTAAATTTCAGGGTCTCGTGAAATTAGTCGAGGTGTGCGTAAATTGGCCCGAATACCTATATGACCGTGGATATTCGGGCCAATTTACGCACACCTCGACTAATTTCAGAAGACCCTGAAGTTTACAGTTATATATATATGAGCTACATTGTGTGAATAACATAATTCAGGATGTAGAAACATTTAAAAATCATGTTTTCAACGTAGTATTTAGTAGAGTAATGAAATAATGTGGTCACTTCTATTCCTACGAGTCTTGGTGAAAAGGAGAGTAAGTGATAAAGAAATTTGACGTTGATCCAATATTAAATGTAATATAACATGTCGTTTGTCCAATGTTCTAGTCTAATGACGAAGGATCAACCCATGTGGTTGTTGATGATCATAATGAGCCACAAGGATATGAAAAGTTGGGGTTATATATATGTTGAAGAGTGTAAAAAGAGTTGCATCAAATTTTTCTTGATTCTCTTTCTAGTCGAAATAATGCATGTTAAGATACTAAAATGGAGCAAGAAATCGTTCGATATGTTGTTCAAACTTTTGAAGGATACATTTCCTAATGGGACGGGAATACCAACATCATATTATGGGAACACAATAATGTTGCTTTGGGCTTAGAATATGAGTCTGTTCGTGTTTGAAAATTTGATTGTGCTTTGTTTTTGTACAAATGTTCAATATGTGAAGAAAGTCGATGGAAAAAGTGAAATTCTCAGGGTAAGAAGTGGACCAAGCTCCAGAATGATAATTTTGAAGAAGAATTCATGTAATTATATGCGTAAAACATCTATGTAAATAGGAGAACATAAACAAATCATAATATAGGAAATTGAGCTGTGAACTAGGCTTTTTGTCTTGTGATATAATTCTCTATCAAAAGACTAGTCGAGCCTAAATTAGACTTAAATAAAAATTTATTTGTGAGAAGAAAAACTTAGCCCTTCAACTGTATATATAAGAATTAATTTCACAAATGGTCACT